GAAAGGGAAGAAGATCCCATGATGGAGATGTGTGCTGCTATTTCTACAATGAGTGTTTTATATCTTGTTCTTTGGAAATGTATACTTTTTTAATCTGAATTCTCTGCATCCTAAACCAACTTCAAATCCGCTAAAATAATGAAATTAAGTAAATCCATGAAAAAATAGATACGTTAAATTTAAATTAAAAATGCCTTTCCATCCATTAATTTTCCAAACTACTTCATCGTCACTGTTGTCACAAAGAGCAGGTTTCTTGTTCCAGTGGTCATCAATCAGAGTACAGTAAAATGTTCAGTTTGAAAAAAGCAAACACAAAATGTTTTGGGGTCGTTTTTGTCCACTTGATGGCAGCATCAGCCTGCCAGTCATGTTTCTTTTCAGGCCGCTCAGCAGGAAAAACTTTTCTATGCTCAACAAGTAGAGCTGAAGCTCACTTATTTTTGCTAAACTGCAACTTTTAATGGCATTTGAACATACATTTTTATTTACCGGTATTTATTTTTTCAGATTTAGGGATGGTTTTTACTCTTTGTGTCAAAACACGCTAAACAATAACTTTACCTTTTATTGTTTTTTTTCTCTTCATAGCGTGTCGGCTGTCCTGCCATAAAAAATGTGAAGTGAAGGTAAGAACATAAAATATTTGCTCTTTTAAAAAAAAGAAAAGAATCAAATTTATTTAAATGTTCTAAAATACTAGCAATGGAATGGAAGCCCATTCCCACCCCTCTATCCCACTTATATCCCATTATTATGATTTAGCTAACTCATAATTATGAAATGTTAAATAAAGATAAAGTCCTACGTCTAACATGCATTGCATCATTAATTTTAATCATTAGGTTTCAGTAGTTTTTGTTTTGACTGGTCAGAGAAATGTTTCCCTCCCCTCTCCCATCCACCAACCCAGATATTACTATAGGAACAAGAGCTGTGTTCACAAAACATCCAAGAAAAATCCATCAAATTCCTCCCCAAACCAGCAGGGACCGTTTGTGGTGTTGGTGTGGGAAATTATTGGAATATCATGATGAGTCATTCATTTTAGTGGTGACAGACGTTGAACAAGGAATTATTTGTTGGAAGAAACAGGAGTGTGTTAGAGAAGAGCTATGAGCAGGTGGAAGTTTTGTACATTTTAGGCCATAAAATATTACTCTTACCTGCTGTAGTCCTAAAACTGTTTAATTTACGTGCAATTCCATCGGTAAATATTGGTGTAAATATCCCCATCATCAGCAAAATGTTGCCATTTAAATTTCTTTATGCAACTTTTACATAAAATCAATTAAAATCTAATTTCAGAAGTAAAAATTCTTCATTTATGCAAAATTCACATCTTTGGATGAGTTTGAATAACAAAATTAAAAAGGTAACTGGATGGTGAAATGGCTTCTACTGTAGCATTAACACTTGGGTCAGCTCGGCCTGGACCGGGTTTGGACAGTTCGCCCCCATGTGGCCAGGTTGTGTTTCCATAGCCTTCTTAGGAACGTTGACATGGGCGGGTTCGCTAAAGAGTTACAGAAAAGTATGTGGTGTCCTTCCTAAACGCCACAAGTTAGTAAACATAAGTGGGTGTGAGCTTTTGGAGACTCTGACATGAGGCACACAGCTTCCTACTCTTCTCACTGAGTAGCAGTGCTGCCGTGGGTTGTTCTCTCCCTCCCAAAACTGCTCATGGCAGATGGTCAGTCCTTGTCTAGCCGCTGTCAGAGAAGATGTTTAACCCACTGCATCAAGATTGTCAATCACGTATGCGGGAAGCCACTCATGGCTGATTCTACACATGCCAATCAGAGGCCCCCACTACACAGGTAGGCATGAGAGTGAAATAACTTAAATTCAGTCCACAGGTGGGTGTGTTTGGTCGGCTCAGTACAAAACAAACCACAGGCAAGCAGGTCCATAATATGCAGTCAGCTTCAAATGAACAACACATGGGGTGTTACTCAATGCCAAGTAACCTTGCATTGATGTCTTGGTCCCGCCCCAGTTGCCTAGGAGATACGTCCTCAGAAACCGCCAAGATGTGCTCCAATGTTCATGTTCTACTGAGGCATATGTTCTCCGTTTGTTAGCCGTTTAGCTAGCCAAGCAACGATACACTAGAGGTGTCTTGTAGCCTAGCCTTGGTCAAAAATATCCCAGAATACAATGCAGTATTTTCTAAAGGATGGTGATTAGAAGCCAGCAGCTACTTTTGAAGTTTAAATGTAAATCAACTAATTGTAGCTATTGGGTTGATTAGCAGATTTTTCTTTTATCCAATGAAGTTATCAATGGTTGTTAGTTATTAGTAGTTGCAACTTTGGCGGCTAGCAGGTAGTAACTCGCTTACATATTTAATTTAACAAATATACAATTTGTTATATATTTATATTGAATCTTCTATGTATAAAACATAACTTTATCTCCCATGTCACGTGATGTTAGGTGACCGCAGCTTCCACGGCGGTCACGTGATGCAAGTCTGTTTCATTTAACCGTTTTCTTTGACTTCGCCTTGCGAGGCCAGACGCCTTGACATTGAGAAACACGTATGGACAACGCCATGGCCCAGACTGAGCTGACCATAGTGAAAATGAGCCAACAGACACTGATTAGAGACATCAAAATCAAGTCCAAGTGAGTCCTTTCACTAAAATCTTTGGTGAAATGAAGGTATTAGCATAACTTCTGCTTTAGCCTAAGTTCTGGCTGACCAACACCCTTCATTTTTTTTACATGGAGGGGATGGAGCTTAAAACTATTACCAGAAACAGTCACTAGAGGGTGATTGGTTTCACTTTTCTTCAACTTTTTGTGGTCCCTATTTATCAGCATGTGGATGACCTGCATGGGTTTAAAGTAGCCCGGCAGCCACAAAAATGTTCTCGAGTGCAGCCACTGCTGCTCACTGCTCCCCACGGGGATGGGTCAAATGCAGAGATGTAATTTCTTCAGTGGTCGATGATGACTTTCATTTAGAAGTTTCTGTTTTCTGTTGTTTTGGTGAGACTTGAATTAAAGAACAGCTAAATTTGACTGGATTTTGAAAAAAGAAACACATTTTTGGACTCAAATACAACATGCAAGATGGAGTTCTGCTGCATTCTGAAATGGACTTTCTCCCCCAATTTTTGCGTTATCATGGTGATGTATCAAGTGACTGTTCTCAGTCCTTCAAGCAACTGTTATTTTTCATTAACATTTTACGTTTTACCATTATTTTGGATGAAATATGAAAAAAACATCAGACCCAACTTGACCACTTGATGCACTAAATGTGCTACGTTTTGCAGATGATGGTGATGACAGTGCTTGTAACTAACCATACATTTCAATTCTCTATTGATTGCTTTATTGACTAATGTAAGGGACTGGTCTTAACTACGGCCATACAAGTTTGTTTTATTTGGAAAGTAGTTCATTTTGAATTTCTCTGAAATACACATTTTTATCCCAAGTTTAGTTTATTCTTTATCAATTCAATTCAATTCAAAGGTACTTTATTAATCCCAGAGGGAAATTAGAGTTTCAGTACACACAATTCAGGATCAGACATACATGGGCAAGACACATGACAAGAATTGGTGACTGTGGTCATTCACAACCCTGAGCTGCGCTACCTTAATAGAGATAAGAGGGGTTACATGAGGATTGGTTCAGGTGGAGGGAAAAAAAAGGCACTTCAGAGTTACCCTCAACTGGGAGGGCAGCTTTGCTCTGCAGAAAACCCACCCCAGACAGATATGCAGCAGACTTCAGACAACACAACATAAGTCTCCACTAGGTGGGGTGGTGGGTTTGGGACTATCCACACTTCGGTTCCTGCAGCCACTACAAGCAGTGCATGTCACCTCAGTGTAGATAGGGGGAGGAGCATTGAGTGTTGGAGGGTTGCAGTGACTCTGGAACGATTCGGCGGCCTTCCCGCAGTCCCGCCCAGGCTGGGATAGGAGACAGTTGAGTTGCCATAGTGACGGCACATTCCACATATCTTCTGAGGGGGGAGTTTTTGTTGGAGCCTTGCAGGCTCAAGGGCGCCAGATTCCGATTAGAAATTGTTTTGGGGCCAGACAGAGATAATTTCCTCTCTGTCTTACAGTTTGTTGGTCCTCAACCTCTCAAAATCCCAATGATGAACATTAATTTATCCTAATCTGTGCTGATTCGTCCACTCTATCCTTGATGGCATCCATCTTTTGTGCCAATGAATGAATCTCGGCCAAAGTCCCAAGCTTACGATTCATCTTGACAATTATGTGAGTCTGTGAATTCACAGCACGGTGCAATCCATCTCTGAGCTCCGGGACCAGGCCAATATTCCTCGACAGCTCGTTAATTTAATCTCTTGCAAATCAACACACTCTGTCGGCCTTGAATAAGTTCGGCTCTGACACAACAGAACTATTAGCATCAGATTCCATGTGTCTGTTTCATCTGCATCCCTCTTATCCATCTTACACAACTTATTCCTCCTGATTTATCCTGTCGTGTCTTCGAGAAGCTGTGCCCCAGACAAGCTGGTTCCCAAAGTCAGAGACTCTCTTGGTCAGCTTGCTTCTCACACCAAAACCTCCGTCAGGAATCTTGGTGTGACCTTTGACCCAGCTCTCACCCTAGATTCTCATGTCAGTTATCTTGTTCGCTCTTCCTTCTTCCTTCTCAGGAACATTGCTAAGCTGAGTCCCATTCTGTCTTGCTCTGAACTTGACAGTTCTCCACACCTTCATCTCCTCACGCTTAGACTACTGTAACTCTCTTTTCACGTGTCTGAGCAGAACCTCCCTGAAACGTCTACAGGTGGTTCAGAATGCCTGTGCTCGGCTTCTGACCAAGTCCTCCAAACACACCCACATCACCCCGCTTCTCCTTTCTCTGCCAGCTGCGGTTTGTCATGTTCGTAGGGTTGGAAATCTCAGGAGAGGTTTGGCAGGGAAAGGCGGAGGTGGGGGGTGGGGTGGGGTGGGGGGGTGTGTGTGACGGAAAGGGACTGGACAAGAGGAGGGAGAATTTAAGTGTTTAAATATTCATCATATAAACACAGATTTTTGAAAGTAATTACTCTTGACCTGGCTCCTGTGTTTTTCTTTTTTTTCATAAAACTGTTAACATGAAGGAGATTTTTACAAAATAATGTGGTTCTGTTTGACACTTTACATATGTTCATAATGCAGTTCCATCTCAGTTTCAAGACAAGTTTGTTTGGGAAAACCTTAGCTATTTTCGAGAAATTGGTTTCTACTTATTTTTACGGTCTGAATTGATGACATATTCTTCTTGTTTGCTTTCAAGCTGGAACAGTAGATCTGGAGATGATATGAAGCCTACCTCAAGCCTGTAAGCCATGAGATCATGAGGTTAGACCTGCAAAAGTTGAAATATATTGCACTCTAGATAGCTTTTAAGTTTTTAATAGGAGTTCAAGTATCTCGGGGTCTTGTTCACGAGTGAGGGAAAGATGGAGAGTGAGATCAGCAGGCGGATTGGTGCTGTGTCTGCAGTGATGTGGGTGTTGTACCGATCTGTTGCGGTGAAGAGAGAGCTGACCCGGAAAGCAAAGCTACTGGGGCTATGGGGCTCAGGAGTAGATCCGTTGCTCCTCCATGTCGAGAGGAGCCCATTGAGTTGGCTTGGGCAACTGGTCAGGACGCTTCCTGGATGCCTCCCTGTTGAGGTTTTCTGGGCACGTCCAACTGGAAGGAGACCCAAGGGAAGATCCAGGACACGTTGGAGGGACTATGTTTCCCGGCTGGCCAGGGAACGCCTTGGGATTCACCCGGAAGAGCTGGCTCAAGTAGTTGGGGTGATGGAAGTTTGGGCGTCCCGACATAGGCTGCTGCCCCTGCGACCCGTCTCCAGATAAGCTGCTGAAAATGGATGAATGGATAGTCACCAGCCTACTTGGGGCTAAGATATGAATCATGTCATTAGATGCGGTATTTAGTTCATCCTGGTGCCTTTCTTTAACTTATTCATATTGAGAATATTGATGGTTAGAGCAGAGGTGGACCAGATCTCTTTGGCTCTGAATACAACAAGAGTTAGTTGGTGATGCATTTCTAAGGGTTGTGACATCATACCAAAGTGCTAACAACCAGCTAGTCTAACAACTGCTTTAAGCCTGGACCACACTGCATTTTTTGGCTGTCCTAGACAAATATCTTGTCGTGAATGGAATTGTGACAAAAAACGGTGAACACAAGTCTCTGATGATTTGCAAATCTGTGGTTGTCCAGTGGGCCCGGCTCTGTGACAGCTTAATGAGCACCTTCACGACTAAAATCAGCATCCAACAGTCTTCAAGCACTGCTTAAAAACCTACGACTCCCATCTGCAATCGACTAATGAAAATACACCCAGGGAATGATGCGAGCAACTAGTGATGAGAGTACAATAGGAGAGAGTTAGCAACATTAGCAACTTTGGAAGCTACCCGCAGGAACAAGTGGACCACTGCTTTTTGAAGTTCGGGTTCCGAGTCTAATAAAATAAGTGTTATTTGGCAGCGCTGATTTCTCTTTTCAGCATTGTTGTTTAGGTTAGATGTTGGCTATTAGTGACACATGCTTTTTGGGAGGTGTCGTCATGGTGTAGCATGTCCTGCTAGAGCGAGACACCATGCAGTCTGGCTTGCTGAAATCTTGGACTGTGGCTAAAGGGTCACCTTTCTGTAGACCTCACAGTGTGACATGAGCAGTCCTGTGTGACAGCTGAAAAACGCTCAGTGTGGTCTGGGCTTTACAGCCCTTACATCCCCAAGTGCTAATGAAATCCTTTTTTCAAGTTAACATTGAGAAAAAGACCTAAAAAAAAACAATGGCAGTTATAAAAGAAAAATCAATTTCTATGTCACTTCGAAGAAAATCCAGAGGGTATGAGATCAGACCATCTCTATATCAGTTGGTAACACTGACGTGAGAGAGGTTAGGTTTTCAATCTAGGCACATTTAATCACATCCTAACTCCTGTGATGTGTGAAAAGTGGGAGAAGTGTTAAATTAGACCCTTTGGAAACAGCACAGGCAATATAATTACCAGCAAGTTTGTTGCTTTATAGAAAGCATGGCTACAACCATTTTTTATCACCTAAAGTGATGTTTGGGGCTATTTATGTGATCTATTATGAGTATGCTGCTTCCCTATACGTCAACCGAAACCCCTTCTTCCTTACAATTAAGTAGCTTCAGACCAGCCTTTAGGTTTAACGTTTTTTTCTGAAGTTCTCTAACTACGAAATCGTTAATCACCACTGCAAATCTATAAATTCATTTCATGGTAGCACCAGAAATTATGAAAGTGTGTTGCTGTCACAAGGAAATAAAGGAGCAGTATCTTATTAAAACACAAAACTTTCTGGTTAATTTACTGCTCCTTTTTTATTTCCTTGCTATGATAGCAAAATGCTTCTGTAAAAAAAAAAGCACTGCTGTTTGATTTGACGTTTACAAAACATTGAGTTGTGGTGGACCTCTGGGATGATATATCTGCCTCCTGCTGTTCTGCATTTACATGCTTCCTTTTGGCTAGTATATTTTGAAACACAAAAGACCTTGGAGGCAGATGGCTCAGACCATTTATTTACATAAAAAAACACTTTGCTGTTTTTAAAAAGGCCAAATTGTCCCCTTTACAGGTGCTTCTTTGTACTTTTAGAGCAATTCATCCAGTAAAAGCTAAATATAAAACAGTTTATTTGGACATGTAATAAGTCAGAGATTTGGAGATTTATTAGATACATCTTAAAAACACCATTCACGGATTTAACATTCACTGCATCAGCTGACCTCAGCACCCTTGGTTCAAATTTGGTTTCTGCTGGGCTTTTGTAACTTATTTTGGTAGGTGTTCCTTCTGTGTTCCTTCTACAGTCTTTATTTTGATCAGATTTATCTTCCAAAAGGGAGAAAGTAAGACCGAAAACACAATAAGATTTGCACAGCGGATGAGGAGTATTCAGGAATGTTGGCACGAAAAAAGAAAGTACCCATTCAAGCATGAAAGTGGAAAAAGGTAAGAGAGAGAGAGAGTGCAAGAGAAAATGACGGGCTCAACACAGAAGAAACTCTGTTTCTGCGGTGCAAGTATGTGACATCAAAGAAATATCACAGCAAGTTTCCATAGCAACACCCTTCAGTAGTATAGATGGCAGCACAGTAGTAGAGACATAGTGTTGGCAGACAAATGGTATGAACGGTCTAATAACCGAGTGCTGGATGATGACTGATGGCCCAATTTACCTCCGCCGTCATCTGGAGGTCGAGAGCAGAGTTCACCAAAACCCTGAGGTTGGCTGGGGGAATATTGTTCTGTACATATTTTCTCGAAAAGACATTGAGGTGGCCTTGGCAGTTTTTATTTAATTGTATGCATAGTTAGAAACCTTTTTAATTTCTTAAAATAATAATAATTTTTTTTTATGTCAAGTACAATACTTTGGGTTGTATGAGCAACAGTGCTCTATAAATAAAGCTGACATTGACCTTGAAACACCAAAGGGGCAGTTTTAAGGGGATCTGCAGAAATCAAATGAAGTCATCTTCAGTGCCAAATGATCCATAATTGTTCATAAATTGTTAAAAACCAATCTAGTAGTTGACTAGGTAACATAAATGAATGATTAAACTGTCATTGGACTCAACCAACAAGTCACAATTTTTGAAACTTTTCATTTAAACGGTTAAAATCTGAAAAGGTTAGGAATCACAGAAGCTAGCGCATTGCCTGTCTACAAACTGCTACAAATGACAAAAATTGAATTTTGTAGACAGATGGGACCAAAATCAAATAATTTAGTGTAAACGAGAAAGAAAAGCACCTCATTTTGAAATCTAAATTGGATATCTTTTGTGAAACACGGTGTTGGTAGTACCATAGTTTGGTATCATTCAAGCCAGGCAGAATGATGACGTCCGATTCCTATTAGGTCAAAACAAAGGCAGCTGTTCTTGTATCTTCTTTCTTATGTAAATTTTTTTCTAAATGTTTCAATCATTCTATCATTACATTAAGATTTTAAAAAGTCACTATAATTTGTGAAACTTTAACCAGCCTTGACTTCTGAAATATAAAAGTGAATTTATCACTCTTTTATACCTTCTCAGCAGCCTAGTACAGCATCCACCCTGGGACTGGGAGTGTGGGGTTCAAATCCCGGTCGGCTTATACCAAAGGCTTTAAAAATAGGACCCATTGCCTCCCCGCTTGACACTCAGCTTTAAGGGGTTGGATTGGGAGGTTAAACCACCAAATCGTTCCTGAGCGCAGCCACAAGTGCAGCTAACCGCTCCCCACAGGGACGAGTCAAATACAGAGTGTAATTTCACCAGCGTAACAAATATTTTTTTTATTTGTTGAATTCCACTATTTCGTTGGAAAGAAACTATGTCGGTTTATGTTCTATCAGTTTCATTGAAAGTCAACTTTCTCAGTGACAATGTAAGACCAACATTATCTAGAGGGGAGGAGAAAAAGGAATATGGACCAGGCAATGCGGGTGAATAGTTACGGCCCCCCCGGATGCCTTTTGCTCTCTCATTTTGGGTACCAGAATCTTAAGGAGCCCCAAGCCACTTTCTTGGCCTTATATAGTGCGTTTGAAAATTTCTTGGCAGTTGATAGGAGGGACCAGAGCCAGCAGCATAAGGAGCGCATCCTGGTCCGGGCCAGAGGCTGTGCAGACGTGCACACACATACGCAGAATCAGGTTCAGTAGCTCTCTGGCACGCGTTTGGGATCACTGCTGTTGTTTTGGAGTGAGAAAAGGGGGGGAGGCAGGGGAGGAGGGAAGTGTTTGCATTTGGTACTCCCTCTTCTTGTCTTACTAGAAGGGGTGTGAAGGCAGAAGCAGAAAGAAGGCAGGAAGGAAAAGCAAGAGGAGTGTGAGAAAAAGTCGCACCGGTTGCAGGTAAGAGCAGGTTTCCACAGATTCTCTTTGCAGCGTTGATGGTTTGCATGCTAAAAGGTTGGTCTCTTTGTTTAAAATGAACTGTCAGAATGATTCTGAATTTAATTTGGAGGTCTGTCACCTCACATGTTATATAGGAAAAGCGGCACAGAAACATGGGAAGAAATTCCAGCTGAAGCTGCCTTTTCTTGGATGTTTTGGATGTACGCTCCTCTTCCACGTCCATGGGAACGCTGGTCTCATGGGAACAAGACAGGGAGAGTTCATTTAGGTTGCTGTTTGAGGCTCGGGAGCCTTTCATGACCCGACGAGTGGTGATTTGTGGCTGCACAGCAACTGGTCAACACAGCAGGCAAACACGTGTTTTCTCTCTTACCATAGCCGGAGTCCGCTCTGGAATCACAAGAACACAAAGTATGGCAGCTGTATGAGAAAAACGTCCTTCTTTTCTTTCATGATGTTGTCTTTCTATTTTTTTCTCAGACATTTTCCTCCCTTGAGAGGCAATTTTTCACCTCTGACCTGAGCCAATTGAAGGCTCCCAGATTAGACTTAGCATTTTATGGGAACAAAGACAGGAATGCAGTTTGAAATCAAATATTGTGACCATTTGTATTGAATAGCGTTTTCAATTCCATTAAAAGATCTTACATAATACTGCACACTTGTCCTTCAGTGGCACCTTTTAAATGTTATCTCAGACTTTGGCGTCTATTAAATGGCTTCCTGTTACAACAGAAATAGGGATACGCTTGTTTTTTATTTGAATACAAAAACAAATTGCCAAGCAGATCTATTTCTGGGAAGTAAGGCTCTGCTGCAGCAGAAATGTATGCCTTATATAATATAGTATTGCACTTTTGTATCATGTTTTCTAAGTCATGGATTCCAAAGCGTTTTACAGCCCAATCCTTCACACGCTGGTGGTGATGAGCTACATCGTAGCAACAGCTGTCCTGGGGCACACTGACAGAGGTGAGGCTGCCGTACACAAGTGCAACCAGTCTCTCCAACCACCACCGGCAGGCATTTTAGCTGTTTGTCCTGTTTCCAAAACCTAATATAAGCCTGAGAGGGTTCACTCCTGAGTCTAAGTTATTGGTCCTACCAGAACTGGAGCTCTGCATCACAGGAAAGTGCTGCTTTTTAGAGCTGGAAGACTGTATCCAATGGCAATGCACCACCTCTGTACTGGAACACGGTATTAGAGGAAAGTGCAGCTTTTCAGAACGTGAACAATTATAACGGAGGTAGACGTTTCTTGTCAGAACTGAATCTATCAGTGGAAAGTTTTGCTTGTCTGAACTGTAACGTATCAGAGGAGAGTTGATCTTGAGCTCTGATCAGCATCTGATCAAAAACGTTCTCTTTATTTCAAGTTTGTCATCTGAATGGAAGATGTATCACTTACAGAGCAGTTTCCTTCTCCTCCGCCCTACTGGTTGCAAGTGTTGTAAATAACCCTGCTGCAGCCAGCTGTCGCTAGCGCTAACAACGAGCTAACACTAGCATGGGTCACCTATTAGTAAAAAATCCACGAAATCTCCTTAGGGCCCACAAAGTCAAAAGATCCACACTGTTAGAAAAAATATATATAATTACTTACAAGTACAGTGGCAACAAAGCCAGGTCACCATCAGATTTTGTAGCCTTCTTTACCTCCCTCATACTAGCATAGGACGTGTTGATGTTCACGCTGGTTTGCTTCGCCTCCAAAGACTCTTTTTCTTCTTCTTCTTGATGATTAGCAAACTGAAAATGCTAACTGCTAGTATTTCAGCTAACAGCCATGAAGCAGGTAAAGACCCTGCTTCATGGCTGTTAGCCCCTGAGGAGACCTACCCGTTCTACAAAACTATCAAGTATGGTGTTTGGTCAGAAGAAGGCTCCAGAGTGGTGTCAAATATGAAACTGGTCTAGCTTAAAGTTTAAAAACTAACTATTTTTACTTTTTTACCAACGTGCTTTCCCTGCGGGCTGCACGGTGGCGCAGTGGTTAGAGCTGTTGCCATGCAGCAAGAAGGTCCTGGGTTCGATTCCTGGCCTGGGATCGTTCTGCATGGAGTTTGCATGTTCTCCCTGTGCATTCGTGGGTTCTCTCCGGGTACCCCGGCTTCCTCCCACAGTCCAAAAACATGACTGTTAGGTTGATTGGTCTGTCTAAATTGTCCTTAGGTGTGTGTGTGTGTGTGTGTGTGTGTGTGTGTGTGTGTGTGTGTGTGTGTGTGTGCGTGTGCGTGTGTGTGTGTGTGTGTGTGTGCCTAATTGTTTGTCCTGTGAGTCTCTGTGTTGCCCTGTGATGGACTGGCTCTCTGTCCAGGGTGTACCCCGCCTGATTGCCCATTGACCGCTGGAGATAGGCACCAGCCCCCAGCGACCCTACGTGGACAAGCGGGCTCAGATAATGAATGGATGGATGCTTTCCCTGCAAGTCAGAGTAACAAATTGCACGAGTGGATTTGAATTTTGAAATTGGCCTCTTTCAGAAAAAGAAGCAGAATTTTTTGCTGCTTTTATCCATGAGCAGTTCTTTTTATTTTTTTAATGATGCAATGTCAGAGTTGGTGTATCAACTTCTCATATAAGCCTTCTGTGCACAGAATATAAAACAAAAGCATAAATAAAGTCATGGAATCTTATCCTCTTTTTAAACTCATCGTCTTTTTTATATCAGGCATCTAAACAGTTTGGGGGCCAGTAGATTTATGAAGAGGGCCATTGCCCCCACAGGTCTTTAGTTAGGCCCACCAGTGGAAAAAAAAAGAGTTGCTGGTAAAATAAGAGTGCCGAAAACCTCCTCCAGCTGTGTCAGCTACAAACTATGTGCTGAGAAGTGTTATATAAACACTAGCGACCAGGGAGGGTGGTATTTAACATGCTTAAGTGACAGGCTGGCAGGAGATAAACAAAAGGAACACAAACTATTTAGGATTTGCTTGTGAAAGAAGGGAGCAGGCTATGACTTCTGATGTAAAACTGACCATTTGTGCACCTTTTAATGTTGGCTTGGAGCCATTTTCCCTCCCTTCACTGTGCTACTAGTGGTCAAATGAGGACAAAGCATGCAGCAGTCATGCCTAAAGAAACAGGAACTGATAGGCCCAACACTGTCCGGAACAAACCCATCAGCACCCCGACTAAATCCAGTAATGATGAAAACACGTTTATTTTTGACATTCACAGAAGCCTTTTTAATTGCATTAAATTTGTGGGTATTTTTGTTGCATTTTATTTAAACCACAAAGAAGGAAATGGTTCTGCAAATCAGGTAAACGAAGGCTCTAAGTCTGAGCCAAACAACCAACCTCTGCTATGACTGAAACAACATCAAATTAACTATGATTAAGCGATGCGGTCATGCCACTCTTGCATAAAATTTCAAGGCAGGATTTCGGATTTGGCGGTTTCCAACCTGTGTCCAAAGAGAGCCACAATCGCACATCTGATTTTCATCATTTCCTTGTTTATTGGTGCATTTTGTCGTCTGCAGCTCGCAGCTATTTGAACTGTAACCAGAAGCCACCGAGCCAGAGCCTGCTCACCGCTCGCCGCATCTCGGCCATGTTCAAATAGATCCTTTCTCTCTGAGTTATAGTCTTTGGCCTCCAGGCGTGTCCACTTCATGAAGCTCCTCTCGGCCCCAAACCAAACACTGGCATGTTGGGGTTTCGAGTTGAAATAATGTCAGTGCCTTTTGTTGGATTGAGCTCGCTGGCAATCAGAGCAGTTGAAACATGAAGGCAGACCATGGTGATGAATCACATCGCAAATAACCGCCTGTATGTTGTGGTTTGGCTTGTCTGGGCCCTTTAGAAGAGAAGTGAACACTGTGCTTGTTGGCTAATTTCCATGCTTATTTATGACGTGTTAGCCATGTGGTAGTTATTTTGGTAAAGCCTTTCTTTACACAGAGACATTGGGAATTTGTCGCTTAGTTTGCATGTCGCAAAATGAAGTGCTTTGGGAAGTCTAGCCATCATCCACTAATGGGCGCCATTGGAAACAGCTGGTGGAGGGTGTGTGTTACACTTTACAAAACCAATTATTTAGATTTTCAACGTGTGTAATATCCTCTTACATCCTGTTTAGCAGCTCTGTGAAGAAGAGATTAGACCTCTGTGGTTCCCAATTTAGATTTTCCCAAAGTAGACAAAACAACTTTATTTTCCTCTTTTGTCTTGAAGGCTGTTGAGTGTTCGATGCTCTAGATAGCATGTGAATGTTCCAAGGCGAGATTACTTGTTGGTTGTCCTAATTTTTGCTCTTTGTTTGCTAGTTCACATGAGTTGGTTAGAGGTAGATGATAACGCTTTTGCCTGCTCCTGTGTGTGTTCATATGTCTGTTAGAAACATTTTCAATTAACCACTGGACAGATGTTTTATTAAATTTCGAAACAGTATTTGCTGGATGTATTTTGCAACTGATTGCCTTTTGAAGATAAGTTTCAAGATGGCTGCCATAGATACATGTATTACAGATAATTTATGTGCCAACTAATAACACAAGATGTGTGTTTGAAACTTAAAGTAACACTAAATAAGTTTTATCTTTAAGCTAGAGCTTTAACATCGATCTCAGTGATTATTGAGTTAGAAACTTGACCAATTTCATATTATATACCACCCAGCAGCCCTCTGCTGGCCAGATACTGCACCTAACAGTTTTGTGGTGCCAGTAGGTGTTCTAGGGGGTGTTCTTATACCTGCATTATGGCTGTTAGCTATTTTCTGTGCAGTTGAAATTTTCGGTTTGCCGATCATCAATAAAAAGCACAAGGAAAAGAAAGAGAAGAAGTTTCTTTTCTGTTGGTATCATGAAGGAGCCTGGAAGTTAAAGTGAGAGAGTAAATGTCTTTGAAGTGAAGTAAAGAGATAAAACCGGAGTAAACATCAGTGTGGCCTGCTCTAGCTTGAGGAAGCTGAAAAGGGCTATGAAATCACGGAATGATTGTGACCTGGCTTTGTTGCTACTGGACTTGTAAGTAATACTATTGTTTGTT